TTATCATTGATTTTTATCCTTACTTTACTGAGTTTTCTTATCCATTTATCCGAATGCCCTTATTGTTTAGGTACATATATTTTCACTGCTATAGAAAAATTACATAAATATTTATTTTTTTATTTTTTCTGACGATTTACTTTGTAAAATAATTTAAAAAATTTACATATAATGCATTTCTTTCCTACATTTTTTTAAATTTGTAAATTTCATCATTTATTAGAAATGCACACGGAAAAAGGCAAGTCTTTTTTTTTTTTCCTACTACCTCAGTAAGTTTCAAAGTCCTACACGCACGCTGGTTTCACAGTGCGACCACCACCCACAGAATAATGGGCAAGAGTCGATTTTTTTAATTCATATATTACTTGTCTCTAGGATCATAATATTCCATTTCTAGAGTTTTAGTTAAAAAAATTATAAAAATAATATAGCACCTGTCAATGGGTTAAAATACAAAACAAAGAACTAACACAAAAGAAAAACCACACAAAGCAGCAGTTCCAACATCAAAGTAAACTTTCAAATGTTGAATAATATGCATATAATGATTCACTAGTGTAGCATTTTTCATTGCTATGCAAGTAGTTAGCAAATAAGCTAGGACAATTTGATAACAAAAATGAAATTATTTTTAATAATATGAGATAACATATACACAAAACATTCAAATATATAAAACAAAGCATATAGCATATAAAACAAAGAATTTAAAAAGTTATATCTAAATTAGTAATTTTATCATTTTCAGAATCTCCTTTTATTTACAAGGTCAAATTTTCAAACTTGAGATTAGAATTTTTCTAATAAAAATGATGAAAACAAATTCTTATTAAAAAACATTAATATTCAATCTAACACAGTTTGAAGGAGATTCGAATTTTTTAATAAAAAAGTCTTAAAGTCTTAAATGAAGTATTAAAAATGACCATGAAAATTTTTTAAAAAGAGAAAATATTTAATTTTTTAAAAAATTAGGACAAATTATAGAAATTAAAAAAAATGGATTAAGTTAAAAACATAATTATTTAAAATAATAAAAACTGGATTTTTGAACAAATAATTATAAAAAAAAAGCAGTGAAACACTGAAATGATAAAAAGCCATGAGTATACCTTTCACTGGTAGGAAAGATAATGAAACTTTTTTTTTTTTTTTACTTTTTTTTTTTTTCTTCTTCTTCTCCCCCCCCCCCCTTGAAGCAATCTTATTTACTTCCTGTCTCTTTTTTCAAAGCACTGGCCCTTGAAAGCAGCCTGTATTCACCTCAATGTTCCAATTCAACTTTAGATTCTTTATTGTTAGGAGTCAAAAAGATAAATGGAGTAGCCACGTTCTGTGCTTGGAAATGAAAAAATTTTCTTCTACCTTCACACTCATTATTTTTGAGAAGCCACTGAAGGTGCATCAAGGAAGGAAGTATGATTTTTTCTTTTCGCATTATCCAATATTGTCACCCCCTTTCTTTGCCTGGGGGAAGCACCGATTATTTACAAAATATTTAGGATCCTCAAACCATGTACTTAAAAGGCCCAAATTTGGGCTAAATACTTCAAACCAGTTTCTTCAGTATTCACAACTTCTTCTGACATATAAGTTTTTAATATAATGTCACAATCCTTTATTTTATCAATATACTTTCAAAGAGTTTGATATCTGAAAAACCTCATTCCAATCTGTAACATCTTTAATGCATTTTATGGTACTTTTGGATAACTTCTGATATCTAGGAACAAATGTCTTATTTAATTTATCACTCTAAAATAACACTATCACTTAATAGTTGGTATTCTGAAATTTTTTTCCAATCTACTTTAATTACAACTACCAAAAGCATTTTCAATAATCAGTTTTTCAGATAATGCCTTATATCTAGAAATGATACCCCAAGAATAAAATGTTCATTCTTGATGATAAATTTTTCTGATCTTTGATATGCTTAAGAAAAAAATCTTTCTGATAATCTTTGATATGCATAAAATAAAAGGTTCTGATAACCTCTGATATTTTGAAATAATTGCCCAAACTACCATATTTTTCAAAATTTTTAATCAAACTTCCAGATAGTTTATCTGTCTTCGAAACTTCTGTCTCATTGATATTCATTTATATAATTTTTTTTTCAAATTTGTAAACTGTAGTACTTACTAAAATATTTTTTAAATTAAAAATATAATCCCTACTATTTATTATTTCTAATGGCTTCAGCAGAGAATTTACCATGACACTTTTTACGATAACTTCTTTATTCTTCATCTACTGTGAAGTTAGCAATTGTTAAATCATCATATTTTGATATGAGTTTCAAATATATCATTTTATAATTTCCTGGATTTAAATCACTCAATTTAAAAGTTTAAGTGTTAGATTCCAAGCAGTTAAATTCTTCCATCATTTATTAATGATAAAATTTTTAGAATAGCCTTATGGTGTTTGTAATAGCCTTATGGTGTAATTCCACCTTCTAAAATAAACATTTATCATCTGTAGGTCGTGATGATTTTTTATTCATTGAACCAAATATAAATTATGTTTTATATTTCTAACTAAATTCATGGTTCTGCAATGTTCACTGTTATTGAACAAACAATTGTTAAATCTTCAAATGAAATTACGTTTTTAGCAACATTTTTTTTTTATACTTTTTGACTTCTCAATTTTACAGGCAGACATTTTGCTCTTAATCCAACGAATTCTTCCATAATTATACCATTATTTTCAGCTCCCATTTTTTCTAAAACCTTCTTATTTAGTTGTGAAATAATAGGTTTATTCCTGTTTTGAAAAATCAGATGCATAAAGATAATCAATCATACCTTTTGTGTCTACTAAAAATAATCAGTTTCATTAAAATATGAGACACTATCTGTACCAATATATACAGTAGCAAAATATACGGTAACATTTTCATCAAATATAGATCCTTGTTTAAAGTTTAGTTTAGCAATTAATTTTTCATTGTTTTCATAATTACAACACAATCTCACATCAATTCTCTTTCTACTGTTTTTCCACACACTGAACTATTCATCAATTTATAGAAGTACAATGATATACATTTAATGCAAAGACGCTTAAGATGAAATGTTGGTTAACATGAAATAATAAGGTCCTGACTTTGTATTTTCATGCATTTTTCCCCCCTTTTAACATGAAATGAAAATCGCTTAACATGGAAAGATTTCACTTCTGCAAATGAACAAAATACAGAAAACACCAGATACGCAGGCGAGATTTAAGAGGGGTGTGAAATGAAAGAAAGGTGGTTTCGCATGTTTTGTAGAAAGAAGGCTATCTTGTCTTTGAAATACCCTCGGAATAGACTGTGATACAAGCCAATATTGTACATTGTACTTCTAATTCAATGTTTTCAATGTTTCGATGTTTTTATGTGGCATTTGTAGGAGTGGATGGTCTAAGCTACTTTTACCATCCACCCCTACAAATGCCACATAAAAACACTGCATCTCTCATCAGTTGGCTTTGGAATTCGGTGAGAGTAAAAATCAGTGACTTTGGTTCACACTAAAAGAAATGGAGAAGGTAAATACTGAAACTGAGCTGACAATGAAATGTTTGAGAAAGTTTCTGTATTACTGGATTGTCCTACAGTATCATTGGTAGAATTTGTTGTAGTAGATGATGGTAATGTGTGTACAGCCCCAATTATGGCAGACGAAGACAGTTTGGAGTTTGTTCAACACTAAAAAAATATCATGGATGCAGATTCCAAAGATGAAAATGACATGCATAATGCAGCTCCTGTTCCCATGTTATCCAAAATGAGGAATGTCATGAAAAGTATGCACAGTTATTTAGACGCACATTGCAATGGTGAAATGACTAACAAAATGGATGACACTGAACAATTTGATGCTAAAAAAGACAATGCAAAGAAAAATATCAGATTATTTTCCAAAAACTCAATAAATGCTTTGTTTTTCAAAAAACTTGAAAATTTTATATTATATTAAACTCTTGTGGATATTTTTGTTTTATTAATTTTTATTAAATACATGCATATATACATATCTATGCGTCAGCTTGCACCCCATGGATGCAGCGCCTGGGGACAGATGTCTCCCTTTGCCCCATCCTAGCTATGCCACCGATGATGCATTGAAACATACAAGATGAATCTTTTAAATTGTCAGTTTTCAATTTCTATATTAATAGAAAAATTCCTTTCTATAAATGCCTGTCCATGTGATAAGATTAGAAGCATTTTTGATATCTTCCATGCTCGTGTCTAGTGAAAAGTAGATAAAACAAAAGGAAGACAAACATGTTAAGAAAAAAGACTTCTAGTATCAGAAGTAAAACATTCTAATATTATATTTTCCCTGTTCTTCCAAAAATTCTCCAAAAAATAAAAGTTCATTACAAACATTTTGCAAATACATCCACTATATGTTAATATCATGAAGACATTTTTCTGGAATCTTCCGGATTCGCGGTTCTATAAAACTTGCCTTCAGATTCTTGTTTTATTTAGAACAGCGTTGCCACTCCTTGCTTTCAAATTGCTGAGTTTATTAGATAAAAATTCATTAAATTTGTGAAAAATACGAATTAAATCAAAAACAAATTCAAAATTCAGGCTTCAGGGTGTTCATATTTGGGTGGAGAAACGTGTTTTAAACATTCATTGACTCTTCAACAATGCAGAAAAATACACACAGATTCTTCATTATTCATTTTTCCCAAAATAATACACTGCAATAACATCTGATGGCAACACCTTGAAATGTCATTCATACACAAAACAAAAATGAACAAAAAGTTCAATGCAAAGTATACACTAATAAAATGGTGCATAGTTCTGACCTTTATAATGATGTTTATGTTGATAAGTAAATCAACATATAAAAATAAAAAATCATACCTCACTAAAATAAACATATCCTATCCTATACACAAGTAATCATTCAAGAAAAGTATTTGGAACTGACATTTGACTACAGCTTATTAGAAGTATAAAAAATTACAAGACAACTTACCTTCTATATCATCAACAATTTTTGGACTTAAAGTGCAATTCTCACATTCTTCTGGAGTTAATAAAGCTGTTTCAAACACTTTACACTGAACACAATCACGAAATTCGGTACATCTACCTTCACACGTTTGAAACTAAAAAAAAAAGTAAATACTGAAATGAGTACTTTCTTCCATTAACTTAAACATATGAATACTGTAATAAATAAACATTTTTGTAATGTATTCAAACTATACTAAACTCAGAATACTTGATGTGCACATAAGATTAAAAGAAATAGTTAAAAAAAAAAGTTTAGTTATTAAGAAAACCAGGGGAAAATCTTTATTGTTATTATCTATATGAAATGTACTTTAAAATCTTGCAAGGTTTTTTTATGTTAAATTAGGCAGTTATTATGATTTTTATCTTTAGTTTAACTTCTTTCCACTTTCCTCACCAGAATGCAAAGTAGCTTGTAGATCATTTAAGCACTTTGGAATCTAGAGAAAGAGTTCCTGGCACTCTTGTAGTTCTGCTAGGTCTAGCTAAATTTAAGTATACCAGTTTTGCAGATACCTTGCAGCGACTGATTTAAATAGTGCACTGGTATGGTTAAACCAGCTTACGGCTTAAGTCATTGTCTCTGTATAGTCTTAAATACTTATTAATGTTTCAATTTGATTTGACTGAATACTTATTAATGTTTCAATTCAATTTACCATTGGCACATTGGATGTGTAATAAAAGGGTTTTTTTAAACCTTTTTTTAAGTCTTTGTCATACTATTGTAAACACAGCGTTAACTCACTACCTGCCTAAGTAAGGTTTTAGGACTAAAAGTTACAGTTTACACCAAGTAGAATCTTTAAACCTATGATTTCTAATAACAACAAAATGAGAAATGTGAAATTAAATGTGCAATGGAAAAAGCTACTTAACTTGCAAGAATGTGTATTTGCTTTAAAAATATGATACTGCTTGCATGGTTTTGTAAGGATCATGTTAATTTTATTAACAGTTAAATTTTGAGTTAAACTTCCTTTCCTACTGATTCTTAATTTCAACTTACCACTTCTGGCCAGAACGTAGTTTTAGAATCACGTCTGAATGCTAATGAGGAAGAGTGGTATTTAACCGCAAAATTCTACAGTCTTAGAGAGAGAAAGAGATACCAGATATTCTGGCTGCATGCATCCGCCTTTTTAGGCTACTATCTTGTAAGCTATTATTATGCTCGGCCGTACTTTAGGCCCTTGTTAGCTTCGCAGTCAATTAGCATTAGGGGACCAACTCTGTTAGAATCTTGGTAGCTTCGGCTATATCTCTTTAGTTAAGATTAGTTTAATTCTTAGTCTCTTAAGTTCAAGCCCCAAGTGTCGGCTTTATTGTACAACTCCAAGATGGAGTTTTGTTAAACTTTAATAATAAAGGGTTATTTCACTCTTCTTACTTGTTGTTTCCTGTACACGATCTCAAGCGATTATTCGCTTATTAGTTCTTAAGATTCTTCACTTTCAAGTGTAACTTAGAATTACACATAGGAGAATCCTACAGTTTAAAGAGCTTAACTAATCAAGGAAATGAGGGCTGCCTTTGGAGAAGATTTCTTAAGATAAACTAGTTCATATTCACATAATACATTGATAAAAGACACGAAAACAGTTATGCAGCCTACTAGGATTTGAATCTGTGTCAAGTTAATGTTGTTCAGCAGTCTTATCACTTGCCACCAGCCAAAGTGGTAATACCCAAGACCACTCTAAACAGTGGACAAGGCTTGAGAAGGTCCCAAACATTAAAATAAGATTGTGTTTTTTAAACATGTTTTATTATATAATTTTTATTTTAAATATATATAAGTATTTTAATAAATTATAATAATGATTTATTCCTAGGTCATTTATTTATTTATTTTTTCTAAACTCATCAAGAACATATAAAATTAGACATAGTAACAACCTTGTTTGAGTTAAAATTACACGCTCAATAGCGATTATTGGAGAATTTAAAGCGAAAGGAATCAGCATAATATTCACAAATTTGCAGGATTAGTTTCAGAGATTTCAAGACAGAATCTTCTTCAGTTGCAAAAGTGCAAATGATGAAAAAAAGGCCATTGATAGGATATGATAAAGCAAAGAGAATGAGAAGAAGGAATTTAAGCTACTGGCACTATCCCTTAATGTAAAATGAAAACAATAACAAAATAAGTTTCTTAAAAGCTGATGGTAAAGATGAATTGGAATTGGGATCGTTAACTAGAATCGATGGAAAGAAAGAAATGACAATAGAATTCCTATAATCTAAAACAAGAAGGTTCCTCCCGGCGATTTTCACATTTTCTTGCACCTCAAGAAATTCCTGTCCTCTGGTGAGCGTTTTGGCAATGGGAAAGAGCTGAAGACATCTGTCACACGCTGGTTCCATTAACAGGCGGCTGAGTTCTACGACAGAGGGATAAAAAAGTTGATCCCACGATATGACAAGTATCTCAATTATGGTGGTGGCTAGGTTAAAAAATAGCTAAAATATTGCTGTACTTGTTGCCAATAAATATGTTCCTGAAAGTGTGAGTTCTTTATATATATGTCATAATAAAAGCACAAGGAAAGACAGAACACTGTACATGCGTGATTAGACCCATACCGAAGAAGACTTTGATTGCGTAGCATGCTAGTAATGCTAACTTGGTAATATCTAAAGAACTTGGCAGTCGAGGCAGTTTTAATTCCATTTTTATTTGCAATTGATATTCGTGACCACAATCACTTGGCACCCTAGTCGTGCCTTTCCACAGAAGATTTTCATTTTTGATATTATTGAGATAGAAAGCAAGCCAGCGTAATTACATTTTAGCAGAGTAGAGAGCAAAAGCTGAAGTGCGTAGTTATGAAAGATGGAAGCACGTGAAGAGAATAGTTTTGGTTTACAACGACAGTTTCAGTTCTTAATTAGTATGTCATCAGAGTTGCACGGGCCATAGAGTGATCTAGAAATGACGCAATGCAGAGAAGTTATTACGATTTTAGAATAGAGAGGAAGAATTAATGTTTATAGTTATATTATAATTCTGATTCATATAATTTTATCTTACATATATACATATAAAACTTACTCTCAGGATGCCCTACATACATATGTGGAAAATTGACACACATCACTAAAGTTTGTCCACAGTATAATAAACTAGAAACACAAAATAACCTTTCAAAAAAAAAAAAAAAAAAAAAAAAAAAGAAAAAGAAAAAAAGAAGAAAGAAAGAAAGAAAGAAATGCCAGAGAATAAGACCAATAATAGAGTAATAGCAAAAACAAAATGCCTCATGCTTAAATATGCTTAAAATCAGAAGACTAATAATGCAACCCTTGTAAAGTGTAAATAGTATGTGTGTTGCGAGTAAAGAGATCCCAGTTATAATCAATTCTGAGTGAAATCTCCATTTGTATCCAAAACACATACCAAATTTCTATATTCAAAATAACTATAATATTGACTTGATTTCTATCTTTGTGGAAATAAACTCTGCAAAGTGGTGAAAATTCCTATTTCTACCAAAAATGCTGAAAACCCTCATTTTTTTAAACCTGCCAGAATAATAGTGTTAAATATGGAAAAACTGTATGTTCTCAGCATAATTACCCCACATATTTATGATTTACTGACTTTGAATGAGTCATATCTGCTCCACACAAATTGTGATTGCAACACAGTGTCTCCATTGCAAATTTTGTAAGGGAGGCATCATAAATCGAATTAAGTCAAAGTTTAAACCTGCACTAATTTATTTATGTCAGAAGAACAGAAACATTTAATCATAAATTCAAAACACTCAGAGTCAAACCAGAAATGAAGATGAATTATATATAGGTCAACATTCGGAGGCCAACATTTTTAAAAAGCAGTACGAAAAATTCAAGATCTTGCACAACATTTCTAAACGTGCAGAAAAATGGATGATTTCATTTATGATACAGAAAAGAATTCTGGAGAACAGATTACTTAATGACTAGTGCCAAAGGTTACAAGAGGGCAAAATTTAACTAAACAGCCCTTGACTTGACAGATTTTTGTAAAAGACTTAGGAATGAGGAAAATAAATGAAAAGATTTATTATTAATTTCATTGGCCAAATATGTCATGAGATATAGAAGAATACTAGAGAACTTATAAGAAATGCCAACTACAAAGTGGGGAAAGGCTCAGCAATCACATACCCATATACCCAAGCTATTCAGTAGCAACTTCAGCAGCCCTTGTGAGCTGCCTGCCTCATGCGGCGATTAGCGAGACATCATAACTATTGATATAATTAGTCTAATTGCATTTCCATCAGCACTATAAGGAATATGAGGAGCACAACTATGTTTTGTGTTTAATCGAGCAAAACTCTAGGTGGTCAGCAATCCTGCTGAGATAAATTACAGCAAAATCGACATAGTCCACAAAGTTTGGGTTTAGTTGAAAGGTACAATCAAGTTCTAAAGCATATGTTACCTCATATAATTGAAAATGAAAATTTGGGATAAACACATCTCATACCTGTTATTTGCCTAGAGAGAGATACCTAATTCTACTACTGGATTATCACCATTTAAATTAATTCTTGTAGTTTTAGGCCAGAGGACTGCTGGCATTTAAGTCATCGTGGGCGGAAAAAATTCCGCTATCTATAGTGCGGGGTAAAAGAGCAATGTGGTATCTACAGACTGCAGCGGCGTTTCAGAGGGTGATGAACTAAGCACTTGCAAAATATAAGATTTTGCTTGAGCCTACATCAGTGACGTAGCAATTTATTCAGACAGCTGGAGTGAATAATTAGTACATCTTGACACCATATTTTTCAAGAGTGTTAAACTAATGCTTTCAATAAATCTAAAGAAATGTTCCTCAGCTAATATTTATATTAAGTATTTTGGACATATCATCGGTTCTGGCAGAAAACAGAATGATCCAAACAAAGTGAAAGCAATCTAAAAACTGGCTAGGCCTCAAATGAATACGCAAATGAAAGGTGTTCTGAGTCCATGCAATTATTACAGAGATTACATCCCACATTATGCAGACAAAGTTTATCCATTAACAAACTTCACCAAAAATGAAGTTCCAAAGTGCTGTGCTGGACTAAGAAACACAACAAAGCATCAGAGAAGTTAAAGTGTCTTGTGTACCCCTGCTCTAAGGTTACATTTTATAATTCAGTGTGATGCATCTTCAGTAGGTGTTGGTGCCAGCTTATCTCAATGGGATAATGGAATGAGTTAACTATAGTGACCAAAAGTTATAACCAAAAGTTAACTATAGTGGCTATAAGGTTTCTCTTTCGATGGTTGGCCGTTGAAAGAGAAACCTATGCTGCGGTTTGGAACCTGAAATAATTTGAAACATGGATCTCTGGATCACCCATGGAATTGATTACTGATCACAATCAATTAACTTTCATTGCCAAGAATGCAACACAGTCTGCTAAGCTGAAATTATGGGTACTATAGAAATATGATACTATAGAAATATGACACTATGATTTCCCATTGAAAAGTGCCAAGTTGAGCAATGCCAATGCATTGTCCAGACTACAGACCAAGCATTGAGTGACTGGTGGGAAAAGAAGACAGAACTCTATGCAGACATTTATAAACTCTTACGATTTCTTGCAACTACTGTATGAAACTCTACTGTATAGCATTTTTAAGTATCATTTTAAGTATTTAATTATTTTAAGTATTATTTCCGAGTTCCATACTCAAGGACCCCATTCCAAATATGAATTCCTGGGGTATCTATAGGATTCCTTGCCAGTGTGGTTTAATTTACATTGGTCAAACTAAGAGAGCCTTAAAATTTTGCGTCAAGGAACATGAGGCATATGTTAGAAAAAAGGAAACACAGAAGTTTTCTGTTGCCCAAAATTGTTGGTCCGAAAATCACACTTTCAATTTTTCTGCTGCCAAAATTATTCAAAAAACATCTTCCATTGGAGAAGTGGATTTTCTGGAGGCATTTCACATTCAAAAAAATCTTTCTATTTAACGATCCTAATTCCAATCCATCGTTGCCTTCGGCCTTTAAAAGAAATTATGTTTTGGTTCTGGTTTCATCAACAGATAGTGCCACTAGCTTATCTTCTGTCCAGGTTTTCTTATCTTATCTAATCATTATATCCTATCTCGTTCATTTGTGCTTTTGCAGCTGAGGATGATGGTTTGGTTAAACCATTGAAACTAGTCCTGTGAAAATATAACGCTGATTTTTTGTTGTTTGACTTCTGAATCAGTAAAGGTCAAATTGTTATGGCTCGGCAACTAGGAACATCAATATCAGAAACAGTGTATTTAGTGAGCTGTTCACATGCAGTTGTTGTGAACATATATTGAAAGTGGTGTATTTGAACATACTGAATGTGGTGAAACAACAAAATCGTCAGCAGCAGTGTGTTGTCGATGCCGAATTGATTCCAGAGGACAGCAGAGAATGCTACTCATTGTTCGCCGTCACTGAAGAGCTACAACAGTGACGACCCAGACAGTGTTTCTCAACTCACTGTAGAGTGTATATTGCTACATATGTGCCTACACAGCTGGAGGCCAATGCATGTCCCTGCACTAATGGTACGTTATTGACAGCTCCATCCAAAATGGACAAAAAACATCAGAATTGGATATTAGAAGAATGGATGAAAGTTGCGTGTCCAACGAATCATGTTTTCTAATCCATTACATCAACGGGCGTACGCTAATACAACAATTTCCAAACGAAACCCTGGCTCCCATATACACAGCTGGATGCAAGATACAAGCTGGTGGCAGGGGTATTATGGTGTGGACACTGTTTTCATGGAGAACATTAGGACCCATAACCAGGTTCACCCATTCGTAACAACAATATTTCTGGCGGGGGATGGTGTTCACCAACAGGATAATGCACCATGTCATAAGGGTTGAATCATCAGGGAGTGGTTCATTAAACATTTCAGTTACTTTCAAATCATGTCTTGGCCTCCAAATACACCTGGCATTAATCCAATAGAGCATTTGTGGTCCCACCTGGAAAACCAAATTCAAGCTGCCAAGCTACCTCCTCACAATGTGTGGGAATTGCAGGACCAGTTGGTGAGTGCTTGGTACCAGATACCTCAGACTACGTATCAGTACTTTGTGGAGTCAATGCCAAGCTGGGTGCTGGTAGTTTTGAGGGCTAAAGGTGATCCTACATGCTATTAACAGGGAGGTCATAATGTAATGGTTCTTCGGTGTATATGGTTAATTTTAGCTAACACATCCATTTTCATGTTAATTATTTTCTGCATTTTTTATTTCTTTTACTAGCCTTGATCAAAATACAAATTAGTTGAGATTGAATAGTGATCAAAGACATTATTCATGAGAGCACCATAACAGCCATCCGGTATTAGGTATAGCTTTTTAGTCAAAAAATTGCACTATAACACAATTCTATATCTTCTATTCTAGTTGACAAGATTCACAAAATTATAACTGTGCTTTTATGTCTTTTTGTCCCTCTGGACTGAGTGGTTAGTGGAACACAATGGTTATTTTCGTACAGTACATCCACTACACTTAGCATATACTGAAACTGTTCAAGACTGGTCACGGTTGAGACTTCTCAGCACAGCAAAACTGAAACTGCCCAACCCTATTAACCCAAACATTAAGAGACTTCCTTTGAGACAAAGAATGTCTCTTAAGAGACTTTTATCCCACAACTCCCAAAATTTGCATTGCTTCAATACATTTCTTATGCTTGAATTATTTTAATACGATTAACAATTATAGTGAATAAGTTTTCCACATTCCAGCATTTTCAAATGATCCTCTATTTCATTACTATTACAATATTTTACCTTCTAAATGAAATATTATTTTCAATTTTAACAAGAGAATTCATAAAATAATCAAGGAAAACTGCTTTAATTTTTTTGTTCCGTGTTTCACACATTAATTTGTAAAAACTGTTAGAACACAAATACACTCATATTTCTTTTCTGAATGAGAAAAAACAACATACTTACACTACAATCCTCACAGAATGGACCACCAAAGAATCCACGCTCATTATCCCTGAAGCACTGACATTCTCCACATATACATTCTCCCCGTCCACTACAAAATCTTCCATTTTCTTTATCTACAGGTGAAATGCAAGTATCATTGCTTGTTTTGCATTCACATGCAGGTCCTGTCCAACCAGGATTGCATATACATTCACCACAACATTCTCCTTTACCTTCACCACCACACACCAAGCCATTAGAGTCTCTTTCACAAGAAAATGTATCACATTCACAGAATTCACCATAAATTTTCAATTCGTTGCTCTGCATGAAAAAAATAACATATATAAAAATGCCTTTGTTTATATATAACATATATGAAAATACCTTTTTTAAGATAACCACATACAGTTTATCAAAAAATGAGTGGAATTTATTAAATCTAATTTTTTAAGACAAGATTAGTTGATTTAAAAATTTTATGAAACATTTAACAGTTTTAACAAAATTGTGTAAAAGCCTACTTTAAAAAAAAGAATGCATAAAAATTTATAGAATTTATACACCTGTACTCATAATACATTACTGAAAAATTAGGAAACCCAGCCTTTTCATGAGCATGAACTATCTTCTCCTGTTCCAAAAGTGATATTATCTACTTAAGCTTGGGGGAAAAAATGAAAATAAGAATAACATAGATGGCTCGCTTGCAAAGGACAGATCAGTCAGCCAGCCAGGCTGTCAACTATAATTAAATTTCTTTTCTATGGGAAATGACATACTAAAAGCATAACCTGCAGCAATTAAACATAATTTAAAATCTATAAAGTTGAACTTTATTATAAGATAAAAATCATATTTAAAATCTGTATGCTATCTTTCTCCATTTAAATAAAAAGTGAGAAAGGGTTACAAAGGCACTTGGCTTAAAGTTCAGAATCAAAACTGTCAGACAACAATTAAAGATAATGGCTTTAAAAAAAGCTAAAATTTGCTTTAAAATGTTCTTATTTACTCGCGATGGTAATTCAAAAAGGTATGAATTTTTTTTATTGATTTTAACTATGTACAGAAATTTGCATTCTTATGATTTTAAAACTATTAAATTTCTATTAATATCATTTTTTAAATATTACTTACAAAAATTGTTTAATTGTTTGAAATATTAATATTAATTAAATATTATTTAAAATACAAATTTAAAATTTGTCTGAACACGTTAAAATTTTAAACAAACTGAAGGTAGTATAATAAAATCGTGTAATATCAGTAGTAGGTTAGGAGTATCAAAATTGTGTAACAAATATATATATATATATATTGATATGCTATTTTTCTTCCCTTCACATTCGTAAGTTAAGGGTTTGCGCGGATTTGGAGTGAATAACGAGAATAGCACTCGATGAAGTATCAAAACACACTTTATTTAGCCAATATTAATCAGGAGAGTTCCAAAATCATGTTTACAGTTGTCAAGGGACTACACTATAAACATGCTGACACAATCAGCGACACAGCCTCCAGATTATCAGGCTATAACGGTGAAGACAGCTTCACTGCAAAGCACCAGGGTACAGCTTCCGACTCTGCACGGTCGTTCTCGGAATGCCACATACTCTCGAGACGCCATACTGCAACTCACGATGCACTCGAGAATACACTTGAGTACAGCTCCCGACTCCTCAGTTCAGTCATTCCCGGAACTCTCTCGACAATGCACTAACCGTTATACACTAAGAGACTCTTTCAGTGCACTCCACGACCCACTTGATTGACTCCATGTGGACTAACTCACTCTCCACATACCAGCAGGGTTTATATAGCTTTTGGATCGTGTTCGAGAACATTCTGTGCTAAACTGGTAAGAATTCGTTCCAGAAGGTTCTCCATCCGTCCATGGCATATCGCCAATTTTGTTGCCAAATATCACCAAATGTAGCAACCATGCCTTCCCTTGCCATTTTCTGGCAACTCTAAACCTGCTTTGCAGGAAAGCTATCTTAGCGTGCCTGGACATTTCGTAACAAAATGTTTCACACTGTCAAGTAAAGCTACATTTCTACGATTCTCTCATTTATACATCATTTGTGAATAGTCCTTTGTCCTGTACTATGATAGGATTTAATATGTAGGAAATATACTAAATATTTTAATTTAAATTGTGTGCAGGGTGTAACTGCAATTTAACCCTAAAAGTTTTAACAGGGTTTCCACTCAAACAGGAGAATGAAATTCCCTGACTCTTCCATATATATATATATAGTATATATACTTATATTAGGGTTGCCAATCAAACAGAAGAACGAAATTCCCTGACTTTTCAAGGTTTTCCAAGTGTGTTTAAAAAAAAATTCCATTCTATTCGTGTAGTGCACGTTGGTTGTGCTGAGAGGTAAATTAATTATGGTACCACTTGAAAACACAAATGTTTTCCAATTTCATATGACTTACATATATTATTTATAATTAGAAAACTTTTTATACCATCTCCAAGGAATAAAAATTTAATTAAAATCATTAATTATTAGGGAAAAAAACTTTTTAGTTAGTTTTTTAATTAGTATTTTCTAGACCTCTCTCTCTCTCTATATATATATTATATTATATAATCTCCAAAGCATTACTTTTAAAACAATAATAAGAGTTCTTTTCTCCAATGAAGATTCAGATTAGAATTTGCCCGATCTGGATTAAAAAATGTCGTTTTTTGCAGCTAAACGAAAGACAGAAATCTATTTAATGATATTTTAAAATAAATTCAGGTTATTTTATATTTATTTAGCAGGATACATAAGCAAAAAATATTTGCATTATGTGCATTCCTGATTTTATATCATCATACTACTAGAATTAGTTTCAGGACTATGCTACAAAAAATTGTCATAATTTGAAAATATTATTAACTAACAGTAAATAAATTTAGAGGGAAGAAGCTACATTAAATGGTACGAATAACATTAAAATAAAATTAATTAAAAATTGAATTACAATAATCAACGATATTTTGGTGAATACTGTTAAATTAAACAGTTAGCCTAGATGACTAATTACTAGTTTTTTTTTTTATTTTACTGCAAAATGACAAATAAGGCATTTATTAAAAAGAAAAAAAAAGTTTTAAAAGATTTTGCAGTAAAATCGTAGTATATGCTATGGCCTTGACACAATTTGAAAAACTTTCGCTAACACCCGTTTAACTACTCATCATGTCACCAAATCCCGTGTGTGGACTAAACTGATTTTGTTTTTTGGTTTTATACGCGAATGGGAAGGTATTTTCTTTAGTTCAGCATGTACTGCACATCCACATGCACATGTGCGTCTCGAGATTCTCGAGGTTACTGGAAAGCAAAAGTTGCTCGATACTTGGCTTTGCCTTTTTTAAAAGACAATTTGATTGGAGCTGTGAAAATTAGCTTTACGCCAGCTGCCCAATGACGCTCACGTGATACATAATTTGCCAAGAAAGTGATCCCTTCCAATGTTGGCAAAAAACTCACTTTCTTTGGGATTGCCGTATGAAATTCTCTGACTTTTCCCCATTTTGACTAAAATATTTAAACTTCCTGATTTTTCCTTGACTTTTTCTGGTCAGTTTTCGAATTCCCTGACTTTTTTGGTTTTCCCAATTTCCCAGGTAGCGTGGCAAACCTGATATGTATAATTACCAAAACATTACTATTATAATCATAATAAGAATTCTTTTCTCCTCTGAAGAATGAGATTAAAATCTGCACAGTCTAGATTGATTTTTTTGGCAACTAAACGAAAGAAAGAAATCTATTTAATGATATTTTTAAATAAATTGAGGTATTTTATATTTATTTAGCAGCATACATAAGCAAAAAAATATGTGCAATACATTTTGTGATGGTATGTCATCATACTGCTAAAATTAGTTTCAAGAGTATGGCAGAGAAAATTGCCTGAAATTTGAACGTATCTTTAACTTAAAATAAATGAATTTGAATTACAATAATCAACAATATTCTGGAGAATATAGTTATATTAAATGGTTAGCATTGATGACTGATTACTATTTTTTTATTTTACTGCAAAATGACTAATAATGCTAATTCAGAAATCAAAAAAGAAAAATCAGCGTTATATTTTCAAAATTTTCACAGTTTCACACAAGTTTCGATGGTTTTACCAAACCCCCATCCTCAGCTGCAAAAAAAAAAAAAAAAAAAAAAAAAAAAAAAAAAAAAAAAAAAAAAAAAAAAAAAAAAAAAAAGTCGCCAAAACCCGTGTGTACCATATACAAGGAATATAACGATTTTGTTTTGTGCGAAAATAGAAAGGTATTTTCTTTCATTTAACCTGCACTGCACATGCGAGTCTCTTGACTCTCAAGGTTACTGGAAACCAAAGTTGCTGGAAACTTTGCCTTTCCAAAAGGAACACTAAAGTCCAACATTGGAGTCCATCCAATGTTTTGAGATGCCACTTATATACAGTTTGTTTTAAAAGTCCAAATGCACAGTAATCCATAGACGACATATCAGGGAATTTGGGTGGGATGCATTTAAAGGGAATAACTTCAATTCCCATTTCATTTTTCCTTTTTTCAAAAAATAGAGCAGATTTAGAGGTATGGCTTGGAGCCTTATCCTGATGGAACTTAACACAACGAAGATCGTTTGGATAAAGAGATGGAAGTTCTTCTTTAATGGGCATTAAAACATATTTCTGATAGTAATTGGAATTAATATCAATATTTTTTTCTACTTTCCTTATTTTAAGTTTTCTGTTATATGAAAATCCAATAATAAGCATAAAACCTTTAGAAAAAACTTATCTTGTTTTCTCTGAACCAACACATTAAGCCTTTTTTTCCTCTTTTTCAGTAGCAAATCGATCTTCTTATATTGTAATCAGTTAAGTATATACAAGCCTCATCAATTGTAACTATATATTTCCATTTTTCACCTGCCAAACAATTTTCACATAGCAATCTGCACATAATCTTATACTAAGAAACATGTTTCCACAATAGGCCAAAACATGTTTTTTTTTTTTTTTTGTTTATATTATTATTATTATTATTAACTTTAAATCAGATTTTAAAATTTTGTTGACAGTTCTAAGATTTTGCAGTAGCTTTTTGGAGGGTGGGATTTTCCTTTAAAACATGAGATGCGACTTCAAATTTAATAAGAGCTGTTTGTACCTTTGTTGGGTATACATATTTTGCCTTTTTCCCAGTCATGTAAACTTTGACATTTCTTTCCTTTCATATTAGTTATGTCACTAATTTTATGTTTAGAAATATTAAAAAAATAATTTTCACACCTTTTCTTTAATAACTGAATAAGAGTATTTCTCTTCAGACAGTGCAAAAATATAGCCTTTTTTAGCCAACATTTTAAAGAAAAGAATATTTTTAATGCAGCTGACGATACTTTAACCTATTCCAATTTGATTCCATATACAAATTTAGCATATTAGATATATAATGATACAGTTATCCATTTATCAAAATACATTTACCCATCCATCATTATATATCTTGTTGATGGTTTTATATTTATTTATTTGTATCAGAAAAATTTCCATTTTATTTATCAAATCAGAAAACTATTTTAATACAGCTCCTCAATGTAACTACCTCACATCATTATACACCATATTTACACCATATCACCATATTTACAACAAATACATAATTAAAATATATTCCTTCCCCTATATGGGCCACATAAAACTGCTTCGAGGGCTGCCAGTTTGAGACTACTGATATATAAAATTAACTTTCTCTGAAATGACCTGCGAACATTTTCCATAGGATGATTATAAACCTCAAATTAAACATAACTAACAAATTTTATAAAAATCATCAGAGTGATTTTAGAGAAATTTGCACATAAAATTTGGAACAAATCCCATCCCCTCCAAAAATTTCAGTTGCCAGATTTTTAATTTATATTGATTCTAACTTCTTTTTTAATCTCTTCATTGATTATATGTTAAAGTCTCTCAGAATTTTAAAAACACAAGTTATTAATTCTCTACTTTAAACAAAAAATTTTATATTATACAGAAAACAATAAAATTACTTTAAACTATATATTTTACAATAATCAAGATGTCAGAAAAATAAATCTTGCGACTTAAATGTGGTACAACAAAAATCACTATGAAATCATAAATTGTTGTAAACGCCTTCATGAAAACAATTTTACTTTCCGAATGTTAAGTGCAATAAAATATTTATTTACCGGTCCGGCATAACAGTCGCATACACCACAAACACAGTCACCACGGCCAGAGCATAAAGTACCATTTTCTTCCCTAATACATAAAAATGTATTCATGTTTAAAACTGAAGATAATTTTTTTAACAAAATCATTTTTACCCTGCAACATAAAACTCAAAATAAACTCTTACCTTTTACATGATGCTAATTTGTCTTCTTTAACTATATCATCACCTTGGCATTCACACTTTCTTCCAAAATAATTTGGTTCACAACTGCAAATGCCACACTCATAAGTCCCACTATTACTACATTCAGAACTCAGGACTTCCTAAAAAGAAAAAAGTAAATAAATAATAATAAAAATTTAAATCCTGATATACTTTTATTTCCACATGTTAATAAAATTATTATTTAATGTTTAGAAGATTTACAGTCAAAAGTCTTTAATCCGGACTCGTCGGGACTTCAGCGATTCTGGATTATAGATCATCAGTTTAAATCTGGTAAGATGGCATGCAGAAATTATAAAATTAAAAATATGAAACCGTAATTTATGAAATAAAGAACAATTATGATCTAAAGGGTATCAAAATTTACAAAAAAAAAAAAAAAAAAAGAGCTTAATATTTATTTGTTTACTTTATTAAACATTTCTTTCAATGTAAGTTGTTTAAGTTGCTTTATTTCATGTGATAATACTTTCTCTTTAATTCTATAAACAGACATAATCTCTTCTTCAGTTACAAAGTTCCGTTGTTCAAGTCCTATAATTGTTGTGTTGAGAATACTGACTAATTCGTCAATCGAAATTTTTTTGTTTTCACTAGTCTCTCTGTCACTTTCTTCATGCCTTTACCATTTTTTGCAGCAATTCCACTTTTTGTTTGATGGACATCAAAACATGCTTTTGCTTTGTAGATCCTTTGGCAGCTCCAGCATCAGAAATTCTATTTGACATAATCGAAAGTTCAAGCTTACCTTTATAAAATTGCTCTAACAGTCTGCAAAAAATAATAAGCCGGATCCAATTCGAAGATTAAGGAACAAAGCAATCTGCAACATTAACTGAAATACATAATCAGATAATTTTAGCTTAGCTTATACCATCCGTTATACAATAAAAGCGCATGTGTAGGCGTACATGCGTAAACGCATATGCGCATGCATGAACGCATTATGCATTGATGCATGCGCAGAAAGTTTGTAGCTTTGAGGTCCGGATTATAGATCATTCCAGATTATGGATGTCCGGATTAAAGACTTTTGACTGTATAGCATAACTTGTCAGTATGCTTTGAGACATATTGGGCAGACTAAAAGAGCATCAAAGTTTCGCTTCAAGGAACGTGAATCTTGAGTCCAAAAAGGCAAAACTTCCAAGTCTTCGATATTAATCATAATTTTTACTTTGGGTCTGCAAAAATTATCCAAAATGCTTCTTCCACTTGTGAATTGGATTTTCATAAAGCTTTTCACAATCACAAAGATTTGCCTCGTTTAATTAATAATTTTAATTCCAAATCAATTCTTTCTAATGTTTTATTACCTTAATTTTTCAATTTTTTTTTTACTATTTCTACCAACAGATGGTGCTGTCTTCTCTTTTGCTTTATTCCTTTTGGGTAATAAAAAAAAAAAAAAAATGGTTTTCCCTTCATTGTATATTTCTTTCCTCTTGATGAAGAGGGGTCTGCACCTGTTTGCCCTTGAAACTGATAAAGTCTTGACTAAAATCTACACCAATTGCTTTCTAAGTTTCCAATATTTTGAAAGAATTACAGAAGAAAAAAGTGTTTCATCATAGAAAATTAAATAAATGAAATTAAGTTTTAGATAACTACAGTAGCATTTTTGCTTTTGCTAAGAAGTAATTCAGAAATTCCATTTTATTACCCCTTTTAAATTTTTAATTTTAAAATGCAAAGCCATTTTAAAATGAGGCTGATGAAAATAAAAATAATTTAATATTATTTAAAAAAATTAGTATGCTATTTTTATTTTTAGGATTTCAAAATAACATTCTTATATCTGTTAAAATAATCACTTTGAAATTCACGAATCACCAAATCTAAGTTTTTGGAGACAAACTGATGATCTTAAAAAATGGCAAAATCTTGATTAATTGCCAAATTTGGCAATGCACGAGGTAAGGATTTGTAATGTAGTAAAAAGGGAAAAGATAGTTTTTGTGCAACAGAGAGAATGAATTTAAATGGTAACCCAAAGAGAAATTTAGAAAATTAGATAGAAATAGAAATTTTTCTAACACCTGATTAGGTGCAGGACTTGAATTTTTTGATGCAAATGCTTCTCTATGAGTAATCAAATGAGTCCACAGTACATTTGGTGATTTGCTTTGAATAAGTGCCTGTAATCCTCCAAAGCAGCCAGACATGAAGCAAGCTCCATCAGTACACATACAACATCTGTATTCATCAGTACTACGTATCAGTTTCCACCGTATCCATCAGTATACTGGATATGATAGGAAGTATATGCGTCTAGAATATAGTTCTACCATTTTCAGATGTCATTATAAAAATTAGGCTATGAAATATAAATAATGTTCAGCAAAGAGAATGGAATGAAAATATAGTATGAAACAATAAGTTACATTGCATCCAGCTTTCTATTTAGAAAGTTGCTAATATCATGTCAATCATTTGATGAACAATAAGAAGACATCCCTTTCTTGGCATTACTGGCAAAACTGCATATCCGAACAACCACAACTTCAGTCCACTCTTGATGAAAAAAGCAATTAAAGCATTCATTCATTCACTGACTGGGAGCAATTGTTATGGCATCTGCTTCATCTTTGACATAAGTGTATAGTTTCAAAATCTCATATAAGGCAGAAAAACCACTACTGCTAAGATTATCATCATGAATGTTTTTGTCCAATTACAGGAGCATTTTCCTACTAAATCTGGCAACAAAACTGTTATTTTTGCTGCTGGTTTGACTGGTGTTTCTGTGATGTGTATAAATCATATGAAATGCAACCCGAAAGAAAATAATGGATTTTCGACTCTTGGGGGGAAGAACAACTTCCGAAAGCTGCTACGCACAAACTGGAATGAAATGACATAATGAGCTAGCTTTAGCAACAATACAAAGAAAAATTCAGGGTTTCCTTTTATAGAATATGCTGTTAAAAGGTGGTTCTAGCCTTTTACATGTTCTAAGGTTAGAATGTAAGATATAGCACAATTGAGAAGGCGCAGTGTTGCCAGCTTGCATTGCTGTGCCAGCGACTTTACTTTTATACAGGGCCAAGTAAAAGCAAACCGCACAAAAAAAAACTAGATATTTTTGATTAGTTAGACCAAATATCCTGGTTGAGGTCATGGCTCCCTTAGGTACCACGGTGCATAGATTGGCAGCCATTGGCCTAACAAGATGAAATTCTCGAAAAAATTTTTTAAAATATAAAAATATTTCAATACAAAATATTTACAAAGTTTGTTATATCTGATTCATACACATTTGGAAGTCATATAGCTGTATAAAATAGCAAACATTAAGTATGTAGGAAATTGGATGGGACCAAAAAGTTCATTAATTACACCTGCAAGTTCATTTAGTCGGGTTTCCTATTGTGGGGTTTGATTGTACTTCCATCTTTCAGAATTTAATGTAAACAAATTTATAATCAATATTAGAGTCTAAATTTGTAATCATGTTCAGAAAAGTGAAATTAAGAGCAAGTTTGCAAATTATGATATAATTTTTTAAAATGCTTTTTAGGAATGAAATTTACCTCATTTTCTGGCTTTTCACAATCACACTCACATAGCAAATCAATATCCAACAGAACATATTCACTTAAGCCAACAGGAGATATTTCAACTCTCTTTGACCACATACTCATATTTTTTGGACATTCTGTAAGTTCAATTCTCACATCAAAATCAACCTGAAATTTTTAAAAAATTTAGTTATTACAAAACACACATTCATTTAATTAGTGTTTTCAATATGAGATGTTTTAATGCATTACAACTGACTATCCATTTCTGACGCTAATCATACATTTTGGGGATTACAAAAACAAATGAGAAATAAGAAAGTATTCATTAAATTAAATTATTTCTCCTTTATATCTTTTGCGTAGCATATCTGTGTAATCAATTGAAAGGACATAGCTGAAATAAAAGTACCTATTTAAAGAAATAAATACCATATAATAAAGATATTTTGTCAAGTGATTTTATTAAATTAATGGACTAAGGAAACAAGTATTTCATGTGCATTAGCATGTTGAACATGTTTTATACAGTGTAAAAAGCCTTATTAAACTCCTTTTCTATATAAACTTATTAAACTCATTTACTTCTTAACAATTCAAACATTAAAAAAAAATAACAAAAACCTACTATCTTGAATTAATAAAGAAAGACATTTTTTTTTCTACTGAAGAGTATACAATCCCACCTTCTACTGAAACAGCACACAAAAATAACTGCTTTCTTCTACCTTAGGAAAACTTTTTTTATATCAAATATAAATAGAATTCAATTAATCGTAAGTTTTAATTATGACTAAGCTTTGAAACAAATTATTTATTTCCCCCCTCCAGTTTGGTAAAATGAACTCATTTCAAATTTTTTAAAAAAGCACCCTACAGACTGACTTTCTTGACAGTGTTAATAGCATAATATCCCAGATGCAAACACTGCAACCTAATCAACTTCTCTCTCTTATTTACATTTTGGACACATATTTCTAAAACCTGGGCTTTTGGTACTCTTCTCTTTAAACATTATATTTTGATCCTTCTAGAGAATTTGCATTAATTTCACTATGGTTAACCATGGAAGCATAACACTTGTAATGCTTATATTTTACTACTTTCATTTTTGGTCAATAATTTAACATTTTAATTTTTTTTTTCCAAATCTTCATACTAAATAACTCCATTTCTTTCTCTTCTAATATATATATAAAAATATGCATAAAAGTGTGTCCACATGATTTTTACGCAGCTATCATTTTTGCAATCATTAATTATAGACATAGGTTTTGAGTCATAAAGATTTTTAAATAATGCAAATATGCATGTTGAGACATTTTTATTTAAAGTTTTGTAAAAATTAGAAAACAAAATTTTTGCAGTCTTTCATACATTCTTTTCGTTCTATTAGCTATACATATGAAAATGTTATAGTCACTATAAAATAACACAAAAAGTTTTGATTTATTAATGTTTATAACATGACAAAAATTGACAGAAATATTTAATTTCAAAATTTTGGATTCTTGACTTCATCTTTGGATCACATCTAGGGGCTGGTTATTAAAATGGTTAGTTATGCAGGGGCTGCTTATTGAGGTCTTAAGGGAGGAACAATGAGCACCATCATATGAAAAAAAAAAAATGATGGTAGGCTCTCTTTTTTAGTTTAGAGGCGCTGGTGTTTAACACATAGGATTACTAAGAGAAATAGGAGTATGTTATAGAACAAATAAAAAACAATTATGCACACATATATTTTATTTGAAATTTATTTACTGTAACTAAATATACAATCAAAGAGAATAATTAGAAAATTATTTTAAAAGTTTAAAATATAAAAGTGAATCTATGAATATACCCCCCCCAAAAAAAAAAAGTATACAAAACCTACTTACAGTATTTCCAACTTTCAAACCATCACAATAATTGACACCTTTCACCTCATCCCTACAATTTTATAAAGATGTTTTTGAGCAATTATAAAAATTAAAAATTTTGCAACAATTATAAAACTGTACATAATAAAATAATTCAAGTACAATGACATACATATACAACCACACTCAAAATTACACAGCAATCACATACAGATATCACAAAAAAAAAACAGTTTTAATTCAAAAAGTATTACAATATAAAAATCTGAAATCTCAAGTTTTATTTAGTTAACCCCCCGAGTGTTACGGGTTTTTTCAGAAAACGACGTAAAAATAATCGTGTTTTCTTACCAGGACTGTCGCAAAAGCGGCAAGCATTTTTACTCAAACTGCTTCAAAAGCGGGCCCCCCTTACCATGTGGATATAATTAAGCTAATTCTCCCCTCCGTTGAATTTAGCGAGTGAAATTAGTTTTTCTCCCTATGGTATCTTCGTCACGAGACTGGTTGCTAAAATAGTATTTTATCTCCTATTTGGCTACTTTATAATTTGCACACTAAACACATATGCTATATATTACTCGTACCTTAAATCAAGATGTGTGCCGAATACAGAAAGTTAGTCAATATACATCAGTAAGAGAAACTACGTAAAATGCTTTAAAATTTTCAGTTTCTTTAAGGAATTGCTTCAATAATGGTGAAAAAATTAATCTTGCATTTTTTTTATCCTTATTTTCTGAGGAAATACTTTTTTAATATGCGAAGGGAATTTGTGAGAATTTTTTTCTCTCGTGTTCCAATTTTTCGAATACAAATTATTCGCAACTTATTTTGGTATTATGTTTATATTTAATTTTCAAATATTATAAGTTTATTCCAGTTTAAAGTGTTAGATTTAAATGATTCTTTAGATTGCATCATAAATTTATTAGTAGTTAGTTATTTATGACACCGTTTTGACTTGTGAGAAATAAATAAAGTATTGTAATCGCGAAACATTTCGATTTTCATATTTCAAAGGAAATTTCCATTTTGAATAGTTCCATCATGACGTTTACACGTACGTATGACGCATAACTAAACATAAAATGTTGAAATTTTATGTTTGGGACTTATGACTAGTTTTAGCGCGACGTATGTCTGTACGTATGTATGCATGTATATCGCATAACTCAAAAACGGTTAACCGTAGAATGTCGAAAGTTTCTGTATGGGGCATCTGTATAACATCTAATTGTGCACCTCCCTTTTTTATTGCTTTCGGCAGTGCCAAAGGGGGCATTTTGAAATGGAAGATCATATCTCATTTTCAAACGAAATAGGTTAAATGAAGTTTAGCAAAAATTGCGTTTCATTTATTTGTCGTACAAGGAAGTCATGTGGTGTCTGCATCAGATTTTTTAAGATGTTTCAAAATAAATAAATATATGGTTTGAATATCAAATGATCTTAAATGTATCAGCTTCATTTGTTGTAAAATATTCTACAAGGAAGTCAAGAAATAATCTAAATAGCATACCTTGAGAAGAAACACATTAAATACATTTTCTTTTCAAGGAAAGTTGAAATTTGAAAGAATAACTGATTAAATTTTCTTTAAATCCTTTATAAAATATTACATATAAAACCAGTTACGGTTTTCAGAAAGACAATTTAAGGAGGAAAAATATGTTTTAGAATGCATATCGCACAATATTTCCACCTTAAATGGTTTTTCTGAAAAATATTTGTGTAATATTCATTATAAAGTAATATTTTTACTCATAAATTTGGTATGCTTAAATTTGTGTTATCTACCTGTATATAATATAAGCAGTCAGTTCAACTACAATGTAACAATTGATACAAGCTCTGTGTAAAGATCCGATTTCTATCATCTATTGTCCATCTGTTCTATAATCTATTTTCTAAATCTTCTATGATTCAGCCAAAATAGTGTTATAATTATCCTTTTGAATATTGGAACGGGTAAAATATATCAATATGAAATATGCGATCAAGTAAAATTATCTCATTGCTGTTACAGGAGGATGTTGTGTGTAAAACGTCATTTAAAAGGCGGCAAAAACACATAAGTGTTTTAAGTTCAGTTTTATTTATTTGATTGCGGCAAAACAAGTATTCGTAAGCATTATCTGCCTAATGAAGGCATGCTTTCGTGGAGAACTGCTTAAGGAAAACTGGTTGGCACTGACGTTAACACATAAGGAAAACCATGAAAGCCTCCATGCAGTCAGCCTGTTCGCCAGAACTAGACACTGGCTCGAAGTACTAGTGTTCAGAGATATTACCGCTGTACTATGTTTAGAATTTTAAATCTATGTCATCTTTAAGTTATTTAGCAGATACTATGTAACAACAAATTACTAAATTCTCAATGACTTGATTCAAGTAATTTTCTATAAAAACTGGGCCTTCTGGTGGCCGATTGGATAAGCCCAAAGAATTTGAGTTTTCGACCTGGGCCAGAATCATGGCAAATGCCTGGCTGCATTTGTGGATTTCTCCATAGGGAGTACAAATGTGAGGTAGGTTTCCATACAGAATCCTTCACGAAAGCATTACGCTCTTTAGGCAGATAACCTTAGTATTTTTTTCATCGCTTACAGTTAAATCAAATGAGCTTCCGATAAAGTGCGATGTAAAATGTAAAAGTAGGACCGACGAGAAGTACGACAGTCCTCTATATACATATATCGTTCTGAGGAAGTACGATATACATACACAGAGAAAGCATTACATAAAAAAAGGCAGTAAATACATTTGAAGTGTTGAAACTTTTTTCAAAGGAGAATAAAATGCAAACAATATTTTGCTTCTAGACACACTTTCCAAACTGGGATAAATCAGAGTGCAGAATGCACTTAAAACAAATTAGCTTGAATAATTTTATCAAAAAATTTATTCATGAATGAGAAATCATAAACACAATTTTTGTTATTTTTTACGTTCTAGAGACATTAGGTATTTTGGAAGCAGAAAAAATGAAAAATAAGCAATGCCGGGAAGCGAACCATGGACCTTTCAATTATGCGCTGAGCGTGCAGACTACCACACCACGAAGGCATACCAAGAAGGTGGGATTTGGCAACTGGGTTTTTAGGTCGCCTAATCCAGGGGAAGGAGAATCATCATCCAACACCCTTTTAGTTCGGGCGCCACTGTAGAGATTAGGTAATTTTTGGAAAGCAGGAGTGATGAAAAATATGCAACGCCTTTGCCTTGAATCGAACCCCGGACCTCTCAATTACGCGCTGAGCGTGCAGACCACCACACCACGAAGGCCTGAGAAATACCTTATAATGTAATGAAATTTACCTTATAATACCTTATAATGTAATTAATTTATAAGTATTAAAAATTTTAATACAGCTAAATTAAAACTGTATTTATATACAGTATATTATACATATAAAATAAATACAGTATATACATATAAAATATAAATACAGTATATTATACATATAAAATTAACTGCGATAATTCGATTCTTCGGTTATCGCCGTTTCAATTATGCAATTTTAATGTAATAACATAATTACAAAATATTTTTTTGCCGGTTTTTCAGCCACCTTCTAAAAAAGGAGCATATGATATGACGTGATTTTCTTCACTGCTTAGTTGTTCGATATATTGCTCATTAGCTGTTTATTTATCTGATGTCTCACTATATATGTTATTAAATTAAGCAAAACTTTATGTATAATGCAACTTAATATTTGCCTATAGCAGTTCTGTTACAGATCGGACATACGTACATATTATTTGTCTCATCGGTATATCATATACCTGGGAGTCTAAATTCCCTTTTCTCATTATTTAAAATCTGATAAAATTATTACCTTTAAGCTGAGGTAATCTGGAATACCTTGTCACGCAAGGAAATTTCCCTTAAATTGTGCATTTTACATCCATTCGGTCGTTTTTTTTTTTTTTTTAAGTCCAAAAGTACAGGTTGGCTCTGAAGGACTATTAATTTCGTTTTGGCATTTTGCTAAGAGGCTGAATCACTTTTGAAATCGTTGCCACCATGTATTATCGCCCTGTCTTATATTTAAAGAAATTAAATAATGAAGAATCTCAATAAATGTACGTATGTTTCTCGCATTGTGATAAAACAACGGTACCTAGAGCCACCCAAATTTGAAAAACATGATTTTCCATAGAATATGGGCACGTGGAAGCCCTAATTTGAATTTGAAATTTATTTTATTATAGATTTCAGATTTTGTAACCCTTCAACGAATTTTTGATTAAAAAAACGAAACGATTTTAAAGCAAGCAATAGCAACACTGTACGGGGAAAAAAAATTATCTCCAGCGCGAGGCTCTGTATCGGAAATTCTAAAGATACGTAATTTGAGATATTGCTGTTGAACTGAATTTTATAGTTTGAGTTACAATGCAATTTCCTTGTAATTAACTATATAAGAGTTACAATGCAAGTATTTATATACTACGTGCATTATCGAGATGTTAATAGAAACCAAAAAAAAAAAAAAAAAAAAAATTCTTTGTAGCAAAATTGTTAACGATATTATTTCTCCAAGACATTTACGCAGGTGTGTATTCTTTTCATAAATGATGAAAAATAAGTTAACAGTTTTCCGAGCAGATGCTCCAAATTATACAGCCTTGAAGATTAAGTAATGAAAACATAAACTCTTATTTCTGGTTATGTGCTGAAAAAGATATTACCCTTTTCAAAGAAAACACCTAATAGCGGAATCTTCAAGTTGACTTCAACGTAAATATACCTCCAGGGTAAACTGAACTAAAAGCTTACCACCTTTGTACATTTTCTACTTTGTATGGGAGACCATTACCTTTGTGCAAGGACAATCTATAATTCTGATCTTTCTCAGTTTGTTCCTTTTGTTAACTATGACGAGAAATGGAGCTGCCGTAAATTCTAAATTTATTGCTTCTTCCAAAGACTCTGATTTCAAGTTGTGTATTTGCATTCTGTTAGTAATTTAAGCTACCCTGGCTTTAAATTCAGAAACATCCTTTCATCAGTAATTACAGTACATATAAACACAATATCATTATTTAAATTCAGACTTTAAAATCTTCATCTAT